CTATATGACGTGCAAGTCCCAGGAGGCACCAGGAGTGGAGCAAGCAAGTCTTGCCTAGTTGTGAATGGATAATGGGTGGTGGGCCAGAACGTGAGAAATAAAAAGTGAGCAAACTAAAATGTTAAAAAATGGGGGGTGTTCATGGGGGGTGTTCATGGGGGGAGGGTTTAAGTGGAGCAAAGTTTTTTTCAGGGTGAAGTTCTGTTGTAATCCTTTATTTCCAGCAGTGTTCCTGTCTAGTAATCGTTAAACATTTTTCTTGTAAGTTATATTGTGTTGTGCTGAGACAGATGGGGGGTTGGGATGGTGTAGAGTTCTGAAGGTTATTGAGCACTTCCATGTGTACATGTAACATTCAAAGACTGGGATTTCATGCCTGTGACTGACTTTACAAATGTTAATTCAATACATACGTGTAGCATGCGGCCAGCATAAAGGTGCCCATACACTGCACGATTATCGTACGATAATCGTATGCGATCGGGTTTTCGTACGATAATCGAGCAGTGTGAACGGAGACGTGCGACCGTTTCTACTGTACGGTCGCACGTCTTCTGTCGAACCAGCATGTTCGAAAACCAGCCGGGAATCGTACGATTCTCGGCTGGTTAGAACGGTGCTCGGAAGATAAATGCTGAACGGGCCGGTGTGCGCACGCGCACACTGCCCGTTCAGCATTGCGGTCATCGGAAGCCCGCCCCTCAGGAGGGCGGGCTTGCGATGATCGAGAGTGCGATCTGCCTGTCCAAGATAGGCAGATCGTACGTTTTTTTAATCCCTTTACAACCATCGCAAGACTAAAGTCTTGCGATGGTTGTAGAGTGTATGGCCACCTTAAAGGCCATACACCTTAAAGGCCATACACCTTAAAGGCCATACACCTTAAAGGTGGCCATACACTCTACAACCATCGCAAGACTTTAGTCTTGCGATGGTTGTAAAGGGATTAAAAAAACGTACGATCTGCCTATCTTGGACAGGCAGATCGCACTCTCGATCATCGCAAGCCCGCCCCCCTGAGGGGCGGGCTTCCGATGACCGCAATGCTGAACGGGCAGTGTGCGCGTGCGCACACCGGCCCGTTCCCCGGCTGGTCTTGCGATGGTTGTAAAGGGATTAAAAAATCGTACGATTCCCGGCTGGTTTTCGAACATGCTGGTTCGACAGAAGACGTGCGACCGTACAGTAGAAACGGTCGCACGTCTCCGTTCACACTGCTCGATTATCGTACGAAAACCCGATCGCATACGATTATCGTACGGTAATCGTGCAGTGTATGGGCACCTTTAGGTTTCTTACGAAGAAGGTTACCAGGTCATCTGGAAATTGGACACATGTGATCCTTGTTTGTGGATGAAGATCGGCTTCGAGTATAGTCAGTGGGAGAACAGTCAGGAAATACTTTAGGTGCGCTATACTAGGAATGTCTTCTTGTTTTATTGTTGGTTACCTTACCTGTGTTTTCTTTACCAAACTTACCTGTGTTTTCCCTGCGCGCTCCCGTCCGAAAATCCGAAACTGCTCGGGCGGCTGCAACGCATCTTGGGGCGGGCGCTAGGCGCACTTCGGATTTTCGGCCGGGAGACGAGGAGAGACACAAGGTAAGTCTATGGACGCGTGCACCCGCATGCAGAAACCGTGCCAGCAAGGACAGAGGAGTCAGCGCAGGATCGGACACGCGCCGCAGCGCTGGAGAGAAGGCTGAAAAGGACAGGAAAGAAGAGGAAGATCGGATTAAGAAACATCATTTAAGGTAAGTGTTTTACTTAACATTGGGGGAAGGGGAAAAAAATTTGACTTTAAATTCACTTACTGTTGATTGATTCACCTCTGTTGAAAGTCTGTTCCTAGCATCCATTACTCTTTAGGTAACAAAATACTTTCTAAAACAGGACTGGACTTATCCCAGGAGTCGGGTAGCCAATGCTCCTGAAACATTTCAGCTGGCCATAACTTTTTAGGTTTTCTCTGGTCTAAGGAGCTGGCTCTTGAATTGGACAGGAATCCGAACTGGGTTATTCACTGTAGGGTGAAGAGTTTGGAGAAGGCAGGAGAAGTGAACAATCTAGGACAACATAGCTGATTTGGAAAATTTATCCAATTCAGCTCACTATCCAGTTCAGCTATGTTGTCCTAGATTGTTCACTTCTCCTGCCTTCTCCAAACTCTTCACCCTTCAGTGAATAACCTTGTAAATTCCATTATAGTTTGTCCACCCCTGATCTATTGTTAGTATTTAACTTTCCTCCTGCGAGTTTGAGGTCCTGTTCCTGTGTATTTGATCTTTGCTTAAACATACTGCCCTCCAGAACCTTATTCACACCCTTAAAGCTGAACTCCGGGATAAGGAGTTATTGTCCTCATACAAGAGCCATGTGTATTCTTCCTTGAATCTTGGTGAGCTTTGTGCAGTATTCCAGTGTGAGACTTGGAGCTTCCTGTAATAAAGACCGCTCACTGCTGCTAATCTTTTTATTGAAAGATTCAAGCAACTTTTATACAAAGGTAACAAAACATAAACGTAGTGTAAACTGTACAAAAATCAAAAATAAATAAAACAATACTCCCCCATATTATATACATGTTGTATACACAGACAAGCAATAAAGCCTCATCACTGTACAAAAGGACTCAAGCGTAAAGATCCACCAACTATTTACATAAAGCAGCAGAGAAGGCCTAAGAGGCACAACCCGTCACCTATGCACGCAGCCATTTTTCAAAAATCTTAAAGAACAAAAATCTAGGGTGATAAGAGACAGACAGCCACACACCCGGAGAGAGACTCCTGCAAGTCAGGGAGGCCTGATACCCCTCCACGCCTTCAACCAATTCCGTCCCCCTCCTGTAATAAAGTCCGCTCACTGCTGCTCTCTCTCCTTGTGCAGGGTGACTGGTCTTGTCTCCGCCCCCTCCTGTAGTAAAGACCGCTCACTGCTGCACTCTCTCCTTGTGCAGGATGACTAGTCTTGTATCTGCCCTCTTTTCTAGTATTCTGCTATCAGGCTGTAATGGGTGGGGCCTGCTGGATACTTTCCACAGCATCCAGTAATAGGGGGGCAACAATGCTGCACTGCTCCTGAATTCAGAGAAGTGTTGTCACTCTTATGTAGGCTGTGCCTATGCGCACTACAGTGGGATGGGAAGATGATTCAGGAAGCATCATCGTTGCGGATTTACAAGCCTTTGCATGGATGGGGAAGTCGAAGGAGAGAAATCGTAATGTTTATAATCAGCTTTAGGTGCTTTGTCTTTTCAGATAGTCATCTATACATATTGGTTGGTATCCCTCTGTAATATGCTTTTGCATTAAATTATGAAATGTTATTATGGCAAATAGGGATTCCTAGTGTCCTGGACCTCTCTCAGATGGGGACTACTTCACCCCTCTAGTTGTCTATATTAATATAGGTCCCCTAACAGCATTTTGGCAGTTAAAGAGGAAATTGTGTTATAGCTGAACTTGGGGATGGGGATCTAAAGTTACCTTTGCAGTTGGGCTCCCCTTTCACCTCAAGGGTTAAATGTTCATTTTTGTCTAAGGCAACCTTTCTTAATTAGGGTGCCATGGCTCCTCTGGGGTGCCTTCCGGCCTTCTCAGGTGGTGCCTAGAATTTTTTTGCACAACATCATGCCTTTCTATGGTGCAGGTATGGTTGCCACCTTTCTGGGATTCACCCGGACAGTCTGGGTTATGAGTCTTGTATGTGCTGGGTCTGTGTTTCAGGCCAGCTAAAACCCAGACACAAGATATCACGATATCAGGTGGACAGGGGGCAACCACGAGGTCCTGGTGTTTCTGCTCATATGCAGCCACGCTTCGTGCATGGTACGGGTGTAGGCCTCCGCTGGGACTGGGCTCTGACGGTTCATACATTTCCAGTCTCTTCTCTCTCTCAAAACATGAATCTGAGCAAACAATGTGTGACTTTTGTAGACACTTTGTGCTTTGGTCCATTTACCAAGTTCTGCAGTGTATGGTCCAGAATCAGGGACACAAGATGTCTCTCCTCATTATCTCTCCTCTCTCTCTCCCCTGGCTGTCTCTCCTCTCTCTATTTTCTGGCTGTCTCTCCTCACTCTCTCCCCTGGCTGTCTCTCTTCTCTCTCTTTCCTGGCTGTCTCTCCTCTTTCTCTCTCCTGGCTGTCTCTCCTCTTTCTCTCTCCTGGCTGTCTCTCCTCACTCTCTCTCCTCACGCTCTCTCTTGGCTGTCTGTCCTTGCTCTCTATCCTGACTGTCTCTTCTCACTCTCTCTTCTGGCTGTTTCTCCTTACTCTCTCCTCGCACTCTCTCCTGGCTGTCTCTCCTCTCTCTCTCCTTGCTCTCTCCTGACTGTCTCTCCTCACTCTCCTCGCTGTCTCTCCTCTCTCTCTCCTGACTGTCTTTCCTCGCTCTCTCTCCTCGCTGTCTCTCCTCTCTCTCTCCTGGCTGTCTCTCCTCTCTCTCTCCTCGCTGTCTCTCCTCTCTCTCTCCTGGCTGTCTCTCCTGGCTGTCTCTCCTTGCTCTCTCTCCTGTCTCTCCTCTCTCTCTCCTGACAGTCTCTTCTCTCTCTCCTGAAAGTCTCTTCTCACTCTCTCCTGGCTGTCTCCTCACTCTCTCCTGGCTGTCTCTCCTCCCTCTCTCTCCTGCCCGTCTTTCCTCTCTCTTCTCTGGCTGTCTCTCCTCGCTCTCTCTCTACTGACCGTTAATAATTTCTAGTCTGCGGAATCTCTTCCATTTAGATTTGATCCAAAAGTTTGAATGTGATTGAAATATTCCACATGCAGAGAACCATAAAGGTGACTCCATGTTATGGATGATGCTGAGGATCCTGGGAAATCCCACACTCTCATTCTCTAATGACTTCATGTACTGAACAGGCGATTCTGCGGTCACAATGAATCTTTATAAATATGTCCTACATAAAGAATGATAGAATTCTTGGCTGCATTGTGAACAGATCTGTATGTGTTCTATATGTGGGAAACGACTCTAATTTCTGTTTTCTGCCATTTTCTAGGTGTTAAGAAGAGAACCAAAGTCATCAAAAATAATTCCAACCCCATCTGGAATGAGGTGAGGAGAGCGCCGGCTGCTTTTCTGAGCAAAGATAGATTTTCATATGATTTGTCTAAAGACACGATCTATTAATGGCTCCCCGCCAACGAAATAAACACAACGCTCAGCTGTACATCAAGTCTTCATATGTCTCATTTAAAGGAGATCTCCAGGACTGGAACTCTAAAAGCAGAAATGTAATCTGTTTATATTTTGCCTTCCCTGGTTCCTTCCCACCCCCCCTCATCAACACGCTGACATCATTTTTTATTATAATACAGGATTTATATAGCGCCAACAGTTTGCGCAGCGCTTTACAATATAAGGAATTACAATCACAATACAATACAAGACAAGATGGTAAGGAGGGCCCTGCCCCTGAGGGCTTACACTCTAAACGGGAGGGGGAGGGATATTTTTAATTACAATTCTTTTTACAGTTCCATTTTAATTACATATCTTATTTTAGACCCAGTGATGTCATCACTGAGTCTCTGCGCTTCTCTATGTAGGCAAATCATAGCTGGTGGGAAGGGGCAGGCAGGATGCTGTGCATAGGTTCCGCACAACATCACAGCCGCCCGCCTCAGTACTACTCGCAAGAGCCCTCAATTCTGATGCAAGCAGTGGGCTGGCTCTTGGGAGGAGTTATGCAAATATTAAAATGCCTTGATGAGTGGATGTCAGTCTGGAGGAGCGGGCGTTCCCAGGCAGGTGTATTTGCATGCAGACTGCCCTAGGTAACAGCCAGAGGTTATGCTGAGCCTTTATGATTGACAGAACTGAAATCCAATGAATGAAAGGGGTGGGCCGGGACAATCAGACGTAGGAGGAAACGGCTGGATGAAGCTGGGTGTCTATCGTTAGCATCACATTTAAAATTAGAAAATGAGTGACACAATCAGGCTGACTCTCATTTCACGTCTGTGTGACAGTGTCAATGCAACCCCTGCTCCTGTAATTCTGATTGGCTGCAGTCACTGTTTGACAGAGATCTTGGGAACCAGCTCCTTCCTCGATTGGAAAATAGACTTTTGTCGGACGGGGGTGTCCCAACAGGGTCATACTCTGGACCACAATAGGGTCGCTCAGCCAAAATTTGACCTAATATGATCAGCTGATACATATGTCAATGACAAGCATGTGATAGAATGCGTTCAGAGCTGTAATGTAGATTAATGTTTTCACAGAGCAGAGAGTCCTGCCTGAGGATGTTGATCTACAGATAGCAGAGGCCAAGTGGTTACTGCGAATATATGCAGAGTGCATGTTGAGCTGGCTTATCCCCCAGGAAAGGACGGCCATCAGACAAAGCTTACATTTCTGTCCATCTGATCTTTCTGTCCTGAGTGTGGTCGGAGGTGTCCGGTGATGCCATTCATCCCAGGACTACCTTTAGGTATGGCATGGTGGCAGATGTTATCATTTTCTCAGATCTTAGAACCTTCCTATCCCTGGATAATGGTAATGAATAATTCATCAGAGCCTGGAAGGGAGGCTATAAAAGGCCTTGTGTATGTAGAAGTAACCTGACTTCTAGGAAAGAACATTGCAGATCCATTACATGATACTCCGCAAGCTTTTAAAGAGCAAAAATATGGTGAATATTAACAATTCATCACTCCTACAGCTGGTCTCCACTGCTCAAATTTCGTCCAGGTCCTCAAAAATTCCCTTCTGAACAGTGATTGCAGCCAATCAGAACACAAAAGCCTGTTGGGGGATTCAAGAGAAAACTATAAGTGTATTTTCGCTAGTTTTAAACACTGCCAAGTGCTCACCAGACTCCTCTTTCTATGGGCTCAGGTACATGCACATGCAAAATATATCATTGTATGGGGGTCTGTAGCACATGCAAAATATATCATTGTATGGGGGTCTGAAGCTGTTTTCTAGCCAAAAATGTAGATTTTATCATGTGTGTGCAAATGTAAGAAATTGCTCCAGACAGCAAGTTGGTCATACACTAGTATACTAGTTCTAGTGAATTTTAAAGGGTAAACAGTGTGAATGGATAAATCTCCCGCTAGGCAACTGTATTCTGACAGCCAGCTTTCACTGCAGTCACTGTTCGCCGAGAATTTTCCACCCGGCTCCTTTGATTTACTATCTGAAGGATGTTGGGTGGGAGGCTGCTTTCAGGGCCACCCATGGAGTGAATATTGGAAATTGACTCCGTGTATGGACAGCTTTATGCAGTTAAAAAATGTAGGTGTCTCCTCACCTAAAACCTGATAAGACAGCTGAGGTTTGTAGTTCTGCAAGAAAAGCCAGAATTTGAAGAACAAGCCTCACCTTGTATTATTTTTTTTTTTTTTT